GGCAGGTAAAGACCAAGGATAGCCTTGTCTTGACTTTAGATGAGGGTAGTGTGGATGAGATTCCCTACGATCAGATTGAGTGGGGGCTAGAGGAGGCGGACAGCGGTGTGGGCCAGGGGAGGACTTACACTGCTGTCGCGGCTGGAGGGAGGCCGCAAGGAGGAAGAGGCCAGGGCCAAGGGGGTCGGGCCTCAGGGAGCCGATTTCAGGGCGATCAGGGGGTTGGCGGTAGAGGAGGAGACCGCCAAGTGGGAGGCAGGGGTCAAGGTCCCCCGCAAAACCGTCCTAGGAACAGGTCTCCCTATAGGGTAGGAGGATGGCACCCAGGGCTATCGCAGGGTAGGCCTTGGGAATCTTTGGGTCTGGACCAGGCTTTATGGCAACAACGATTGGACCGGGGCCAGTGCATTTTCTGCGGTGACCCGGGCCACATCATCAAATATTGTCCTAAGTACAGAGAGACCCGAACGGCTGCCCAAGGGCCAAAAGGCAACCGCCGGTAGGGGTAGCAACTGCCCCTACCATTAGGTCATGTGGGGAACATAGCGCTAGCCAGCAGGAGACTCCCACACCACATGTGCCTATGGCAGAGGTTGCAGGCCGGTGTCTAGATAGCTGTCCCGAAACTGCTTGTGTTAGAGTTTCGCTAGACACCTCCCTCACAGGCGTGGCCGAAGAATTGAAAGAGAGGATGCCCGCMTGGGCCAAGATGAAGAAGGAGAATAAAGGGCAGCTTATATTGCTAGATATAGAGATTTTTAGAAGTAGAGTAGGGGCCCTAGTAGATTCAGGGGCCACCCGCAGCTATATTAGTAAGAAAGCGCTGCAGAAGTTGAGACTGGGACTTAAAAGTCCAGAAACTAACAGACCCCATAGTTGGTATCCTCGCGGACAATCGCACTATGGTTGTAGAGGATTACGTAGAGGGAGTTCAGGCATATTTCCGCTTAGAGAAAGAGGGGAAAGTGGAGAAGGTCCTCCACTCCCTGACTCTCCTCGTAGAAGACAGCCTCCCATTTGATATTGTCTTGGGAATGGATTGGGGAGAGGCAGCCGGGGCGACGCTCCATCTGAAGGAGCACGAGTGTAGGCTCCCTAGTTCCTCAGGCGAGGCTAAGACTGCCCGCCTGTTCCATGTGTCAGGGGTAGAGAATTCCTTGGCGCATTGCTACCTGAGTGCCCCCGCGTTCGCCAGATTAGTGAAGAAGGAGAAATTGAATGAGCAGGTCTTTGTTGCCTATGTGAGGCCAGTGACTGAGCCTACGAAAGAAAAACCGATGGACCCTGCGATTGCCAAGCTGCTGGAAGAGTTCAAGGMCCTAACCGAGCCGCCGATAGGAGTGGTACCGCGGCCCATCCAGCACCGTATTGAGATAGAGCCTAGCAGTAGGACTCCTAAGGGCGCTGTATATAGGATGTCCCCACGGGAGTTAGAGGAGCTTCGCAAGTAGTTAGACGAGCTCCTCGAGAAGGGTTGGATTAGGCCCAGTTCGTCCCCTTTCGGAGCGCCTGTTCTCTTTGTTCCTAAGAAAGAGGGAGAACTGAGAATGTGCATAGACTATAGGGGTCTGAATGCTATTACAGTGAAGAATGCTGAGCCACTGCCGAGGATAGACGATCTCTTAGATCGAGTGCAGGGGGCCAAATATTTCTCTAAGGTAGATTTAAAGTCCGAATATCATCAAATAGAGGTACATCCTAATGATCAGTATAAGACAGCTCTCCGGACTAGGTACGGGCATTATGAGTTTATAGTGATGCCCTTTGGACTAACCAACGCGCCAGCTACGTTCCAGCGCTGTATGAATGATTTGTTTAGGCCATGGTTAGACAGATTTGTCGTAGTTTATCTAGATGACATTCTTGTGTTTAGTAGGACCCTCGAAGAGCACCAGGGTTATCTCAGGCAGGTCTTGGAGAAGCTGAGGGAAGCTAACTTCAAGATCAATGCAAAGAAGTGCGATTGGGCGAAGACCCAAGTTTTGTATTTAGGCCACGTCTTAGACGGAGATGGCGTTAAGCCAGAGGATAGCAAGATCGCAACGATTAGAGATTGGCCCACGCCACGTACGCTGACAGAGTTGCACTCGTTCCTGGGCTTAGCTAATTACTACAGGAAGTTCGTGAGGAACTTCTCCACCATCGCTGCGCCCCTTCGCAGATTGTTGAGGAAGGAGACCATCTGGAAGTGGGATAAGGACTGCACGTCTGCCATGAAGAAGTTAAAGCAGGCATTAATAAAGTATCCAGTCCTTAAAGTCGCCGATCCGTCCTTGCCTTTTGTCGTTACTACGGATGCTAGCCAGTACGGCATAGGCGCAGTGTTACAGCAAGACGATGGCAATGGCTATAGACCCGTAGAGTTCATGTCCACCAGGATGCCTTCAGAGAAGGTCGCGACATCTACCTACGAGAGGGAACTCTACGCTTTCAGTCAAGCGTTAGACCACTGGAAGCACTACTTGCTTGGGAGGCACTTCAAAGTCTATTCTGACCATGAAACATTACGATGGTTAAAGACGCAGGCCAAGATGACACCTAAGCTTACTAGGTGGGCCGCRGAGATAGATCAGTACGACTTTGAGCTCAAGCCTGTCAAAGGGAAGTA